GTAAAATAGTAATAATATCAACAAATACATACACAAGTCATCCAACTACCAAGTGTGCAATATATGCTATGCCATGAAATGTCGCTTCCCATTTCCGAAACAATACCGTTTCACCTTTCTAACTGTTAGTGCAATCCGACCCAAGGCGACTCCAAGGCGTCATGAGAGGAGGATTGGCTAACTATCCACGACTACAAGGCAACTCCAAGGCGTTGTATCCGGCCTAGGTAGCTTAACCACGCTAAGGTCTTTTCCTAGTCCCCTCTAGACCACATTAACGCCGTGGACCACTAGGCACCTCCTAAGCGTCCGGGTTTTCGCAAATCATTTTCAAAACATTTTCCCCAAAGTAATTTCCATTTGATTTTCAAAACATTTTCCCATTTTCTTTCCCCAATAGAATGCATGAATGCATCATGGTTAATACAATCATGCCAATATATATGATTTCCATCATTTGAAATTAATCACAACATGCCCTCATATACAACTCTAATTCATTGAACATAGTAGAAACATTTCATACTTTGAGAAACATAAAATTTAAGTAATTTATACACATAAAATGCAACAATAAATTTCCAATTTAGCATACTTCTTCATATCATTCCAAGAAACAAGTAATTTCAGTCATTTAGTCATATAGAATATAATTAAACACAAAACCCTCAAAAAGGCAAAACAATTGAGCATACTTATACACAAATAAAAGTGGAGAAATTCACTAAAATCAAAGAAGTCATGGATTAGAATACCCCTACCTCAAATTGGTGAAAAAGCCTTAAAAATGCCCAATTTTTGAATTTCCAATTGGTGGTCAAACGGAGATTGGATCTTATCAAATCGACGGCCTCGACTAGCTCTCCAACTTTGTCTTACTGACAAAACCAAATTCTCAAAGATAAAGGAGGAATCAAGCTTTGAAAATCATGGCAAAAAAAAAAAAAATAAAAAAATAAATAAAAAATAAAAAATAAAAAATTAAGGGAGAGAGAGAATCGGCCGAGAGTGAGATTTTGTGGCCATTATAAGTGTTATAAAATCTTGTGGGCCCCACAGCTTATGAAAAAAAATCTTTGGGCAAACTACAATGACCTCTCCTGAAGTTTGGCCTAATTGCAACTAAACCTAAGATTTGCTATTTTGTTGTAATGTGTTCCCCTGAGGTTTAACCAATTTTGCAAAGACCTCCCCTCTGTACAAAAAGTGACCAAAATGCCCATATTATTATTAATTAACAAATATATATATATATATATGTATATATATATAATAATGGACTAAAGTACCCTTAAATATAAAGAGAGATCAGACTCATCTCTCTCAAACTCCCCCACCAGTGGACCGTCTTTCTCTCTCTAACTCACCCACCTCTTACGACCAGAGGTTGAAGTTTACAGTAACACCACATGTTACGAATTGGTTCCGATTTTTATACATTGAAGAAATATAATTGTAAATTAAGTACACATATTCACACTTATATTCACAATTACCTTCAATTCACCAGCAAGCCTTACCCATAATCAACAATATGCTTTTTAATTATTGGTTGGGTTGTTTTGTTGCCATCTCGCAATGGAGGAAGCATGTGGAAGGGAAGTATGGCTAGGTGATGGATCTATTTGGTTCATTGATGGTGGGTACAACATATATATATATATCACTGTAACCACCCAAGAAATTGCAGACAAGCTATCATATATATATATATATATAAAAGATTGGGTTGGAATTTCAGTGTTTGTTGTAGGGCATATATATGATATCGATCTTAGCTTGATTCATGATATCGATCTCTGATCCACACTACCAGTGAGATCTTCAGACATTTGGGTCGATGGATGAATGTGTTTACACTCGATTTTCTATTTTTTTTAGGTTTGATTCAGATGATTTCGCAGAGGCCAAAACCAACCTAAACTCCCAACAATAGGTGGCACCACCACAATCGGCGGTGGTGGGGGCGTTTCTAATGGTGGCAGACTGGCAGTGAATTCAGCCATATTTTAGTGGCGGTGGTGGAGGTTTTGACGTCTGTGATCGGATTTTCGATGAGGGATATGGCAGCGCATGTGGAGATCAAGATCCTGTTGTTCACACCGAAGTAGTCGCGTTTCGTCGGAACCAGAATCCGGTGTCGAAAAGGGAGTGCGGTCGAATACGCAGGAGGCGATGAATTCCGGCAAGGGGCTCTCTTTCCGACGTCGGAAACCTGCATCATTGCGTCCTTGCCGCCAAACCAAAATCATCGCCGTCGCCATGTCGAGATCAACCTCGACATTAACCCCAAACCTCGGCACCTTCTTCGTTGCAGACCCAGCCATCCTCGCCGCCATGGTCTCATCTATTGTAATGTGCAGGTGTGTGTATATATGGTTGGTAGCAACGGAGATGAAAGAGGAATAGTGGGAAATATTAGTGGGCAAAATGGTCATTTTTTATTTTTAGATATTTTTGTTTATTTTTAACAATATAATAAAGGGGTAGATAAGTAAATTTATAGCAAAATTTGATATAGGGGTGTCTTTACAAAAAAATGACAAACCTCAGATTAAATTGCAATTAGGCCAAACCTCAGGGGAGGTCATTGTAGTTTGTCCAAAATCTTTTAACCTTAATATATATATATATATATATACATAAATCATTTTACAACCACCCAATCTAACATACCATCATAAAAATTTGCACAAAATAACCATGCATGAAATGTAATGAACCCGTAACACAAACCTCGCACACAACAACCCCGGTAGCGGGTTCCACCTGGAACCTCCCGGTCCGAAAAACAGAAAAATGTCGAAATGGCAACTAATACATTTTCAAGAGTCCTGAACTCAAGGAAATGTCCCAATCAACACTCTGACACACCTGGTACATCACACGGTATCCGGCACGTAAAACAAGATAAAACGAAAATACTCTCGAAAAATTAAAAAATTCCAAAAAATGAAAAATGACAAAAATTAGAAATATTACAAAATACATGTTAATGCATTCAAAATTTCTAGTTTGATTTTGGCTAAGCAAAATGAATAAAGATGGAGGGGAAATGAATTTATCCAAATAGTTTTATCAGAGACCATGAGAGTGTTCAGGGTATTTTAATAAAAATCCTTAATTACGTAATTTGATATATTAAATTTTATAATTTATTTCCATTTTACTAGTGTTATCTGATTTTCAGTATTAGTCAGCAGTTTGTAACCCTTCTTCAAGAACCGATTGGCCGATACACTTTTTTCAAATGTATGATACCATTACACACCTTCATGAATAGGCTGATTATACCGATATTTGTCCAAGTCAATTACGTCGTGTATCGGCTAATGCCCTTTTTAAAAGGTCCAATACCATTGCACACCTTCATGAACCGACTGATTTAGACCGATATTTGCCCGAATCCGTTACACCGTGATCGCAAGGCAAGCTTTTATATACTCCTGGGTTGTATCTTGAAACCGGCACCACCACCTACACCCACATGTGAGGATGAAGTATCAACTTTAGCACAATGCCTAGCATGCCTCTCAACCTCGAAGGCCAATTTGCCAATTTTTGCTTACATTAATTCAAGTTCATTTTACTTGAATGCATGCTATTCTAGTAGCAATATAATACTTTCTCGATATCAACATGCTTTACACCTTATTCAGTTTTCACTAAAGAAATGGATTGTAAATGGGAGTTAATATACATGCCTTAATTAGCATTTTTTTTTTTTTTTTTTTTTTTTTTTTGTACCCTCCATGGACGCTTGAACTCCTGACCTCCTTTTGGATAACAAGGGCCTAGTACCACTAGATCAGTGACGTGTTAGTGCCTTGATCAGTTTTACACACAAAATTATAGAATTAACATAATTACGTAGTGCATATGAATTCAGTATCCGTTTTAATATACATATATATTGTTCTTTAATTGCCATTAACCATGGTTATCTGGAAGAGGAACAAACTGATGATAAAATGGGAAGTAAATGTATTTAAATGAAAAATTATAACAGTACCGGACCCGTTTTGAGACTTCATTTAAATTAAAACTTGTATGGATAGTAAGCCTAGCAGTTACAATTGCATACATTAGCGAATCAGCTTTGTAAACAAATAAGTTGTATCGTAGAATTCGTTTCTTCTCCAACTCTGCTGGTGGGTGGAGGTAGGTCGCCCAGCTCCCCCGTAGGTGCCCATGTTCGAGTCACCCCTCCCCCTCGTTCGTTTTAGCATCGAGAGAATCAGCTTTGTAGACAAGGAAAGAAGTTAATGGAAGGAATATTTCCTGGCTAGTTGGCTTCTCATCAACACAGGTTACGTTACTGTTTGTCGGGCTGGAATTCGGAATACTTCCTGGCTAGTTGGCTTCTCATCAACTATGATTTGCTATTTTCATTTTGTTAGCTTAGGAAAGACTTGGGGTATAAACAGAATAAGGTTGCGTGATTTGATCTTATTTGGTTTGGCAAGGCTATTCCAAATCATTCCTTGATGGTGTGGTCGACTATTCAAGATAGGCCGTGCACCCAACAGAGAGTGGAAAGAACGGAGTTGGATCTCTTATGTTAGTTGTGTTTTGTGTAGAGAGCATGTGGAAGATAGAAACATCTCTTTTTCATCTGCAGCTTCACTTGCACGCTTTGGAATTCTGTCTCTGGTGTCTGGTTTAGGGGCTCTGCAATGGCCTACTAATGATTGGGATAATTTGATCAATTGGGCTGTTATATACCTAAAGTGTTCTACTCATCTCCATCACAAATAAATTGCTACTGACTGCCAGCATTCAATATGAAAGGAAAGAAACATGAGACTTCACATGAATGGATATCAAGATGTAGTTGCTTTGAAATTTTAGATAATTTTAAAAAACAAACATATCACTAACTTATAAAAAAAGAAATAGTTGCAAAATGTGGGCTTTAATTTTCTTTTTTATATGTCGAAAGACCACACAAATGATAATAAAAACATGTCTAATGCATAGAATCTACCATCTTAATCTCATTCAATGTTAACAAAGAATATACATATATAAATTGAATTTTTCCATGTCTGAGATCAAGTCAACCACCAATATAGCCAACACCAACATTCCTTCTCAAATCAAGTCAATCACCACAACCAACACCAATCCCAACAATCACTAATGCACAAAATATAAATAAATATTGCATGCAATACTAGGCATACTATTTATAAATGCAGAAAGCATGTTTCTTACAAGCAATTCCCGAGTTTCTCACTTGTTCATCCCTTTCCGGGCTCGTGATGTGTTCTTTCATAAACAACAATCAAACAAGGTTGATCTTCACTCTCGGACGTTTTCTGTTTCAATAAACAAAGTTCAAGGAATTATTATATGCCAATTGCATAAACATGTAAAAGCAAGTCTCTAAAAAGATCATTTGGTTCAAAAACTATTACCGTCTCCTCAATGTACAGCGTGAATGACTTGCTTCCGGCACAATGGTGAACATGTAGTGCACTCCGGTTCTGTTGGTGTTTTCTCACTTATTTCCTAAACAATGCAGGTAATCAAATCAAGGAAACTTTATTGTTATCTCACTTATTAAATCAAGGGTAAATTATAGTGACACCCCCTGTGATTTGCCATATTGACAGCCAGATACACCTTGGCCCATTTTTGAACAATAACACCCCCTGTCAGAAATTGGATCCAAACAGCCCCCGAAAATGTGTGAAAAGTTGAAATTGCCCTCCAATTTTTTATTGATTTAAATTGTAAAATATCATAAATCTTGAAAAACACTTTTGCCCTTCGGTGTGAGAATCAATACCACAATTAAAATATCAAAACTCTCTCCCACAATTATATACACAATTGAAACACACATTATATATATAGACAACACATCATAATCACATTTTGTTCAAGCCGTTTGATCAATTAATATGATATCTATTATATAATTCTATTTTAGAAATCCTAAAGGAATAAGGAAAGGGAAAACTATATCAAAAGTTTCGATCAATCGAAACCACATCAGAGAGCTTCAATTGAAGGGTCAACTGGTCGAAGTTGTGACAATTGCTCATGATTGAAAACTCAATCGATTGACACAAAATATTTTTTTTAATTCTTAAATCAGAATTCTAAATGGTTTTGTTTTCCTTTCTTCGATTATAACAAACAAACCTTAATTCATTTGGACTCAAACACTATATAGACACCTCAAGGCTCTCAAACTCAGACCTAAACACACATTATTGAGAGCACATATAGAGAGATCTAACATTCATCCAATTTTTTTTTTTTAATTTTTTTATACAGACCATATCATTTTCCCTCATGCATCATGTTGCATTAGATGGTAAGTAACTATTCCAAGTGTTAATCATCAACTTGGGGAACCTAAAGCGACATCAACACCAAATGACACAAACATACTGCAATCGCATAGAGCCTTGGGTAAAGAAATAAGGTAAAGAAATCAAGTTCAGCAAATAATTACATTTAAGAATAAAATTTAAAAGAAAATAGCAAAAGGGACAAACCGAATTATTTGAAAAAAAATACCTTTGCATGAATGAACAACTCCTCTATTGAAATATGATAATCGGGATTGAGTTTGTTATAAAACTCTTTATCAGATTCAAAAAACCTACATGACAAGAACTAACATTTTTTAGAATAGAATCAAAATACATTTTTAACAAACCCAATCATGATCATCTTAGTAATCGGAAGTGTTTAATATGATTAAAATGTATTAAGGGCCTGTTAACAAACCCAATCATGATTATCAAACAGGCCCTAAATTATGAAATGCTTACCATATAGGTATTTTATCAGCTTGGAATCATCTTCTTACGCACAACAGCCCCTCACATATTGAGCCATTCTCGCCGAAGCCAAACCCAGCAACGTGGTAATCAATACAGCACCACGCAGTAATCCATCCACAGAATCAATCGTTTCCCTTTGGGCAGTATATGATTGAATTGATTGCAATTGGATATATGTGTATGTGTCCGTAAATATATGTGTGTGTGAATATAAAAGAGAGAAGAAATAGAGGGAGGAAGAGGGGGTGGTCATGGTGGTAAGAGGTGGTGGTTGTGGGTGGCCTGGTGTACTGGTAGGTGCTTGAGAGGAGCGAGAAAACAAAGAGGAGGGAGAAAAGAGAAAGGAGAAGGGGGAAATTATTGGTGGGTAAAATTGTCAATTCATATGTTTAGAAAGGTTAAAAAGGTAATTACATGCGTCAAATAGGTAAATTCGCCATGTGTCAAATGCGGTAGGTGATGGTTGGGGGTGTCTGTTAAATTTACCAAACCTAAGAGGGTGTCATTATTCAAAAATGGTTCAAGTTCTGATTGGCTGTAAATAGGGCAAACCATACCCTTAAGAGCCCAGCAAAGGGTTGTAGGAGTTTGAAGTTGGACCATATACAAAAATTGTGCTTATGGGTCTTAGTCATATTCACAAGCAAGGTTACGTTCATTATGACATAAAGCCTCGTAATATTCTACTTGTCAAGACCCTTCATCATCTTGTTTGACTTAGAATTTGATTATTCCGAGGTTAAAAATAGTTGAAGAAATTGCAAAAATTGCTGATTTTGGGCTTGCTATTACGATTACATATAAAAAATGTTCCAAGTTGAGGGGCACAACTATGTCTTTGGCACCTCAGTCAGTTCGTTATCAAGAAAACCAGCCTCATTCAGATTTTTGGACACTTGGGTGAACTATGTTAGAGTTGATTACCATGCCTTACGCTCTTCTATATCGCTTTGGTTTCAGAAAAAATTGTCGAAAATTCCAAGTTGGGTGTCTACATAGACAAAAGATTTCTTGGACATGTGTTTAGTCAATGATCCCAAGTCCCAATGGTTGCTGACATTCTCTTAGGCCATCCCTTTATTTCATCTATGAACAATATTAAGGATGTTAAGAAGGAAGAAACAAAGTTTTTCTGAATGAAACAAAAAAAATAAAGCATGTGATACATTACCTCAGAGTTCAGTAGTTAATCTTCTAAGTAAACCATATAAGATAATGTTGAAGAGGGCTTGAAAGACATCAACATGAAGGACAACCCCTTTGCAAGAAGAGAAAAATAACAATGGAAGAGGTCCGTGAAACGCTACAACAACAACCAAATACAACAGGCTATCAACGTTACTGGGAGATAAGGCCAACTCTTCTTCAAAATCACAAGACATCAATCCCACAAGCATTTGAAAAACGAAAAGAAAGCAGATAGAGTTTCTTCATTTTCCCATTGTAACTTATCCCACCATTCTCTATGACATTGAATTGATCGTAGAGTGTCTTTGTCTCTGTTTGAATCAAATTGAAGTTTGTTAAGCTTTAAGATAGCTGGACACACAAATTCTGGTTAGAGAAGAGAAGGGAAGTGGATGACTGTGGATGCTCATTGACAGTGGTAGTCTGTACAGAGTCAACATTTGTAGCCTTGAGAAGAAACTTAAAATTCCTTCCCTGCTAATTTCATTAGTACTACTACTGTAACCCACATCTTTTATTACAACTTTCATTGCATCAAAGTGAGTGGTCATTTGAAGATGGAAGAAATTTCCACCCTCAATTTAGAAAGAGTAATTCTACACTTCAAATATTTTCCAACCCCTTTTCTCTCTATTTTCAGTCTATTTATAGACTGTTACAGATCTTCTTGAAGCTTCCTAACTAACTACTTGCACTAGGCTGTTCTTATGGGCTTTTCTTGGTTATGGGCTCAATTCCTTTTATCTGAAATTGAGCTTCCCACATGACTTCCCAGTCTTGGGCCTGACTAGTGGAGACTTAATTCAAAGCGGTTAATCTTTCTTGACCCGCTCATATCAATTTGGATTGTATCCGGCCCAGATCATCTTTGTATCCTCATCTGCCCCCATAATCTCTCCCTAATTAATTAGGGTGAGATTATCGAAAGGACATAATCATGACATGACGGCTCGAAGCGGTGACGTGGGGAAATGAACGGTTGGCTCTGAGACCCACGCTTTGAAATCTGCCGCACCATCTTTACCATAGTTTCTTGGATGTTGAACCAGTTTCACTTTAAAAACCTCAACTTCTCTTTTTTTGTCTTTCTTCAACCTTTATCACCTCCATCTTCTAGTGTCATCTTCTTCGACTATCTCTGTAACCTACCTTTACTTTTCGGCGACCTTCCCTTGTTTCCTCCGGCGAGTTTTTCCTTCGCGACTTGACCTTCGCTTTGTCACAGGATAATTTGCGAACTCCTTTTCCAAGGTTAGTTCCTTTCTCTTGCAACCTCTTGATTTTGGATGCCATTCGTTCGAAGAACATCCCTAATGATGTCTCCCTCAGGGTTTACCCACGAATCTGGATGAGAGATCTGGTGAAGTCAATACATACTCTCCATTTCCCATTCTTCTGCTGTACAAAGACTACATTTGATAGCCAAACCAGGTACTGAACTTCTCTGATGAACCCTGCATCAAGCAATCGATCAATCTCATCGGCGATGATTTGATTGCGTTCTGGGGCGAACCTCCTCTGCCTCTGCCTCACAGGCTTGGCGTTAGGGTCTACGTTGAGGGAATGACAAGACACGGAAGGACTAATTCCTGGCGTGTCTGAATGGCTCCAACCAAACACATCTGCGTTCTGAGACAGGAAATCAATCAACTGCAGTTTCTCCCCCTCTGCAAGGCCTAACCCTAGCCTTGTTGTTCTGTCCGGCTTATGAGGATCTATCTGTGCATCAATGAGGGGCTCTTCGGTAAGAACCAAAGGTTCATCCTCCCCCCCGATCGCTTTGGGGGGAGGTCCCTGTAATTGCTATCATGGATTGTCAGGCCAAGCGAGAGCTTTGCCCTTACCAGCAGCTTTCAATGTCACGGAGTAGCACTCCTTGGCTGCGACCTAATCCCCATAGATGTCAATCACTTTGCTCCCATCCGGGCTCAAGCATCTCATTACCTAGTGCAGAGTTGATGGGACATCAAGAGGTTATAAGACGGATGGATCTCGACGACCACAAAGCTCTCTGTCATAACTCTTTCAGCAGCTTGTACTGGCAACTCCACCATACAAATGGGCTCTACCCATTTCCCATCGAACCCCAGTAATGGATTTCTGGTGGGTTTGAGCTTTTCTGGCTTGATCTCGAGCCGGTCAAACGTTATTCTCGTCATGACATTCGCACTGCTCCCTGGATCAATCAGAACTCGCCGCACCAAGCATTCTGCCACTGTCAAACTGACTACTAGAGGATCTTCATGTGGGACCTGTACACGTAGCAGATTTGTTCTGGCGAACTTTATCTGAACCGATGCGCTTTGCTGGTTCAGAGCGTCTACACTGCCTAACCTTCTCTTCATCTGCGCTTGGCGGAGGCGCATTCGGAGTAGTTCTTCAGACTCCTCGGTCGGCTCAGGCCGGCCGTGAATTACATTTATTATCCGTATAGGCTATGCTTTATGGTAGCTCGGCTTTTGATTCCTCTTCACTTGCTCTACCGGTCGGTTTTGCTCCACCGCCGGCCCTTGAATATAACCTGCAAACTCTCCCCTTGCTATCAGCATCTCCACTTGCCTCCTTAGGTTCCTGCACTCATTAGTCTGATGACCAAAATCACTATGGAAAGCACAATGTTTAGATTGATCTCTCTATTCGAGAGGTTGTTTAATTGGTAGGGGAGAGTGAAACTTATCTTTGTTTTCCTGATATAACCTTGCGAGAGTGACTTTAAGTGGAGTAACCAACTCCTCTTCTCTAGGCCTCTTCTCTGCCTTCCATGAGGTCTGACGCTGTGGTGGAGCTTGTTTTTGCCGAATCTTGGTTTTGGACTTCTCTTCTGTTGAAATAATCGACGTCTTCCTTGCATTAGCTGCTTCTTCTTCTTCCAAACGCACGAAACCGTCAGCTCTCTCGTTCAGCTCATCCATGGTCTTCGGCGTATTTACCACCAGACTCATAGTTGTCAAAGGCGTTCTGGGCGCGCGCCTCGGGCGCCGGGCGAATCAAGGCGCAGCCTTGGCGCCTTACATGCACCCAGGCGAGGCTTTTTGCATAGGCGCACGCCTATTTGCTAAAGGCAATAGGCCCAAGGCGCATGTGGGGCGCGCCTGTATGAAGGGCGTTGTTTTTATGTTGTTTAAAGAGTTGTGACTTTTCATTGTTGGTTTGACTTTTCAAAATTGGTATGCATATGTTAAGTGGTGGACCCTACCACTTATTATAACTTATATAAAGCCAAAAAGGTAAACCAAACAAGGGCTCTGCTGCTACTTCTTTTTTGTTTTTTTTTTTTTTCAATGCTGTTATGGGAGCTTTTTCTTCCATCTATTATACTATTAAACCTTGTAGTCCAAGATATAGACTTACCTCTTCCATCATTCTGTTTCTCTTCTTACAAAGGATTTGTCCATGTTATTGTCTTTCAAGCCCCCTCTTCGACATAATCTTGTAAGGTTTAAGTAGAAGATCAACTAATTGAATTTTGAGGTGATGAATCACGTGTTGCATTTTTTGTTTCCCTCAGAAAAACATTACTTCTTTCTTCTTTAACATCCATAGTACTGTCCATAGATGAAACAAAGGGATGGCCTAAGAGCATCTCAACAAACTATCAAGACTTCGGATCATTGACCAAACACTTGTCCAAGAAATCTTTTGCCCCTACACACATCATCTTGGAATCTCCGACAGTTTTTTTTTCTAAAACCAATGCAATACAAAAGAACCCAAGTCGAGGTATGTAGCTCGTAATGCCATGGCGCTGTTCATGTAATCAATTTTAGCACAGTGCACCCAAGTGCCTAAATATCTGAATGAGGCTGGTATTCTTGATAACGAACTGACTCAGGTGCCAAATACATTGTTGTGCCCCTCAATTTGGAACTTTTTTTTCTTTGTAATCGTCGTAGCAAGCCCAAAATCAGCAATCTTTGCAGTTTCTTCAACCCTTTTAACCTCGAAATAATCAAACTCGAAGCCAAACAAAAGCACATGCTTGTGAATGTAGACTTTATGTCACAGTGAATGTAGCCTTGCTTGTGAATACAGCTAAGACGCAAAAGCACAGTTGTTTTTTTTTTTTTTTTTTTTTTTTTTTTTTTTTTTTTTTTTTTATCATCTAACTTCAAACTCCGGCAACCCTTTACCGGAACTCTTAATATGATCAATCAAACTGCCACTGGATGCATACTCCAACATGATTTTATAGAACAGAACTCCCTTCTTAGTCAAAACCTTATCCTCAAAATAGCAAAGAACGTAGGGACAACCTTCAAACTCATCAAGAAGCTTTATTTCTCTACGAAACGAACATGATAAAGGCACTTCTGCAATTTCAACAGCCATCACAAAAGGAGCAATCAGACTCTTTAATTAAACTACTCCAAAACTGTCCATTCCCATTTTTCTTCCTCACATCCACCATACGATCTCTCTTTTCATCCCTATAGTCTCTACGTACATAAATTTCATTCGTGATGAATGATAAGTTCTCTAGCGTATCAAAGTAACTCTTATGTTGCTTAAATTGTTTCTGTTAGATAGAAATTTTTTTAAAAAAAATGTTGGTTGGCATTGGTATAATAAGGTGGTGATTGCCTATAAGATTGTCGTACTTTTCTATTTTGTCTTTCTTATATTTTTTTTCATGTAATCTAATCTTATTTCCTCCTATTATCTCCCTAATACCAACCTTAGTGTTTTACTTAAATTTTGAATTGTAATAGCTTAACTTGCAAGCCATATCATTTTTGCTCCCTCAAGATCAAGTTCTCTACATTTTTCTGGTTGGTTAGCCGTCAACAATGGATAATTGTTTCAAATTATCATACTTTTGGGCATACTAGTGTTTTTTGGGCCCATAGGCCTATATGGCCACTAACTTGAAAATAAAAAATAAAATAAGGCAGAAGAAATCAATTCGCTTTCACATTTTGGGTTTCTTTCCGGTAGCAACACTATAAATGGACTGCTATTACTATGTTAAATATGTTCTTGTTCAACATTCATGCATTCTCCAATCCTTATGTCATCCAAGTAATCATACACCTCAGTCAACATCTCCACTTTAGTGTTCTACATTATTAACACCAAGCTCAACATGATCAATGTTTGAGTTTTAAACATCTCTCCATGATATATCCAAATTATATTATATTTAATCTATATTTTTAATTATATATATTAGATTAAATTCTAAAAAAGCCTAGAACCATGGAACCGAACCGAACCAAACTCTTTTCTCGTGGTTTGGTTCGGTTCAATTCGGTTCCATTTTTTATGGTTCGGTTCCAAAATATTCTAAAATCGGTCCAATCCGAACCGTGTCCACCCTTAGGTTTGCACACTATAATCAAGGGAACTATGCAAGCCCACTAAGACCATTAAAAACTAAAAATAATTCCACACGTTCACTAGAAACAAAAAACAACAGGGTACTTGGGAAAAAAAGCATGATAAGAACCAACAAGCCTGTGGCTTAACGGTACAAGGCCCGTACTTCCCAAAGAAATGTTAGGTGTTCGAACCTCAGTGGATGCAGTGTGTATAAGTACCAACTAGTAGAAAAAAAAAAAAAAAAAAAGGAGGCATGATAATATGTTTATTTCAAATGATAACAAGAAACTATACATGTGCTTCAGATCAGTTATAAAACAGCTTGTCTATAGAGAAACCAAAGGAAAACACAGCAGAAAATTATATTTAATTAATGCACGAAACAGCCTTTGATTTTACCAACAACTTCAAATAATGATCTAGAAGCTCTAGCAAGTAATCTGCCAAATTTATCAAACACAAATTCTCTAATCAATTAATATGGCCATTTGGTGCCTTTTCAATTTAGTTAGCTTAGGAAAGACTTAAGGTATAAACAGAATAAGGTTGCATGATTTGTTCTTATTTGGTTTGGTAAGGCTATTCCAAATTATTCCTTTATGGTGTGGTCGACCATTCAAGATAAGCTGTTCACCCAACAGAGAGTGGAAAGAACGGAGTTGGATCTCTTATGTTAATTGTGTTTTGTGCAGAGGGCATGTGGAAGATAGAAACCATCTCTTTTTCATCTGCAGCTTCACTTGCAGGCTTTGGATTTCTGTCTCTGGAGTCTGATTGGGATAATTTGGTAAATTGGGCTGTTATATACCTAAAGCGTTCTACTAATCTCTATCACAAATAAATTGGTCCTTGCTGCCAGCATTCAATATGAAAGGAAAGAAACATGAGACTTTACATGAATGGATATCAAGATGTGGTTGCTTTGAAATTTCAGATAATTTCAAAAAACAAACACTGACTAATAAAAAAAGAAAACAGTTGCAGAATGTGGGCTTTAATTTTATTTTTATATGTCTAAAGACCACACAAATGATAATAAAAACATTTCTAATGCATAGAATCTACCATCTTAATCTCATTCAATGTTAACAAAGAATATACATATATAAATTGAATTTTTCCATGTCTGAGATCAAGTCAACCACCAATATAAGCCAACACCAACATTCCTTATCAAATCAAGTCAACCACCACAACCAATACCAATCCCAACAATCACTAATGCACAAAATATAAATAAATATTGCATGCAATATTAGGCATACTATTTATAAATGTAGAAAGCACATTTCTTACGTGCAATTCCCGAGTTTTCTCACTTGTCCAGCCCTTTCTGGCCTTGTGATTTGTTCATTCATAAATAACAATCAAACAAGGTTGATCTTCACTCTCGGACGTTTTCTGTTTCAATAAACAAAGTTCAAGGAATTATTATGTGCCAATTGCAAAAACATGTATAAGCAAGTGTCTAAGATCATTTGGTTCAACAACTATTATCGTCTCCTCAATGTACTGCGTGAAGGACTTGCTTCCGCCACAATGGCGAACATGTTGTGCACTCCGGTTCTGTTGGCTTTTTTCTCAGTTATTTCCTACACAATGCAGATAATCAAATCAAGGAAACTTTATTGTTATCTCACTTATTAAATCAAGGGTAAATTATAGTGACACCCCCTGTGATTTGCCATATTGACAGCCAGATGCTACTTGGCCCATTTTTGAACAATGAAACCCCGTCAGAAATTGGATCCAAACAGCCCCTGAAAATGTGTGAAAAGTTGAGATTGCCCTTCAATATTTTATTGATCTAAATTGTAAAATATCATAAATCTTGAAAAACACTTTTGCCCTTCGGTGTGAGAATCAATACCACAATTAAAATATCAAAACTCTCTCCCACAATTGTATACACAATTGAAACACACATTATATATATACACATCATAATCACATTTTGTCCAAGCCGTTTGATCAATTAAACCATATCTATTATATAATTCTATTTTAGAAATCCTCAAGGAATAAGGAAAGGAAAATCTATATCATAAGTTTTGATCAATCAAAAACATCAGAGCTTCAATTGAAGGGTCAACTGGTCGAAGTTGTGACAATTGCTCGTGATTCAAAACTCAATCGATTGACACAAAATATTTTTTAAAATTCTTAAATCAGAATTCTAAATGGTTTTGTTTTCCTTTTTAGAATTATAACACACAAACCTTAATTCAATTGGACTCAAAACACTATATAGACACCTCAAGGCTCTCAAACTCATAGACCTAAACACACATTATTGAGAGCACATATAGAGAGATCAAACGTTCATCCTTGTTTTTTTATACAGAGCATATCATTTTCCCTCATACACCATGTCGTATTAGATGGTAAGTAACTATTCAAAATGTTGATCATCAACTTGGGGAGCCTAAAGCAACATCAACAACAAATGACACAAACAAACTACAACTGAATAGAGCACTTTAACGTATCAAAGCCTTGGGTAAAGAAATCGAGTTCCGCAAATAATTATATTTAAGAATAAAATTTAAAAGAAAATAGCACAAGGGACGAACTGAATTATTTGATGAAATACCTTTGCAGAAAATAGCACAAGGGACGAACTGAATTATTTGATGAAATACCTTTGCATGAACGAACTTCTCCTTTATTGAAATATGATAATCATGATTGGGTTTGTTAAAAAACTGTCTTTATCAGATTCAAAAAACCTACATGACAAGAACTAACATTTTTTAGAATAGAATCAAAATACATTTTTAACAAACCCAATCATGATTATCTTAGTAATCGGGAGTGTTTAATATAATTAAAATGTATTAAGGAACTGTTAACAAACCCAATCATGATTATCAAACAGGCCCTAAATTATGTAATGCTTACCATATAGGTATTTCATCAGCCTGGAATCTTGTTCTTGCACACAACAGCCCCTCACATATTGAGCCGTTCTCACCAAAGCCAAACCCAGCAATGTGGTAATCAAAACAAAGCCACGCAGTAATCCATCCACAGAATCGATCGATTCCCTTTGGGCAGCATATGTAATATTTGTTGGGGAGTATGGGTTTTGGGAAGAGACGGAGAAAGTGGATCGAGACTTGTATTTCTTCTATTAAATTCTCTGTTCTAGTGAATGGGTCCCCATCCGGCTTTTTTGGAAGCTCTCGAGGGTTAAAGCAAGGGGATCCCCTTTCTCCTTTCTTATTTCTTATTGTTATGGAGGCCCTTAGCAAATTGATGAGGGAAGCAGTGGAGTTAGGTTTTTTCAGGGATGGGCCCGGATTCAAGGCAGCAGATGGATATCTCTCATTTACTTTTTGCGGACGATACTTTGGTTTTTTGTGATGCGAATGAGTCCCAACTCCAATTTTTAAGATGCGTGCTGGTAGGCTTTCAGGCTATGTTAGGGTTGAAAGTTAACGTGGGTAAAAAAGTGTGCTTGTCCCTGTGGGGGAGGTTCCGGAGTTGACTTCGCTTCCAGCGGGTCTAGGATGTGGGATGAGTTCCATTCCGATTACTTATCCGGGTTTGCCTTTGGGTGCTTCGGCAAGGAGGGTGGATGTTTAGGATTCAGTGATTCAGCGTTTCGAAAATAGATTGGTCGGATAAGAAGCAATATCTTTCGAAGGGCGGGAAAGTCACTCTAATAAAGAGCACCTTGTCTAGTCTCCCAACAGACTTCCTATCCCTCTTTCAAATCCCGTGCACTATTGTTAATAGACTAGAGAATCTCCAACGGAATTTTCTTTGGGGTGGAAGGGGTGAGGAGTTCAAGTATCATCTTGTCAGGTGGGAACATGTTTGTAGATCATTTCAAATGGGCGGTCTTCGTCTTAGGAGGATGATCCCCTTTAATAGGGTGCTTCTTGGGAAGTGGTTATGGAGATTTGGTAGTGAGAGACGTCGCTTATGGAGGAGGGTTATAGCGTGTCACTTTGGGGAGGAGAGAGGGGGATGGTCATCCAGGCCAACTGGCATGGGGGAGTGGAAATTTATTCGCAAGGGTTGGGACAAGCTGTCTAAGCATATTAGGTTCAAAGTTCGGGAGGGCAGGGATGTTCGGTTCCGGGAGGATTATTGGTGTGAGGATTGCCCTTTGTCTCAGTTGTTTCCAAGATTTTTTAGGATTGCTGCGGATAGACATGCTATAGTAGCGGACAGTTATCGGCTTAATAGCGGAAGGCTTACGTGGGATGTGCGTTTTTGGCGTTCTTTCCAGGACAGGGAATTTGAGGATGTCCTTGGCCTTTTGGATCTTTTGCATAGACAGGATGTGGATGGCAGAGGGTCTGACTCCTAGGTTTGGACACCTTCTCCTCAGGGGAGGTTTGATGTTCGTTCTTTATTCCTTTGTCTCGCCAATTTTCATGGTTCTAGTTTCCCGTGGAAAACAGTTTGGCGTTCGAAGGCTCCTCTCAGGGTGGCATTTTTTGTTTGGACTGCGGCTTTAGGTAAGATTCTGACTCTTGACAATTTGAGAAAGAAAAGATTGTATTTGTAAGAATGATGGAGAGTCTGTGGATCACCTTCTCTTGCATTGTCCTATGGTTTTTGATTGTTGGAGTCTTATTTTTTGGTCTTTTTGGCATCCATTGGGTTATGCCTCGGTCTTCAAGGAAATTGATTGACATTTGAAGGGGCCAAAGGTTGGGGGCCATGCTCGTGTCTGTTGGAGGGTGACCCCCCTTTGTGTTTGGTGGAGCATCTGAAAAGAGCGAAACAAAAGATCTTTTGATGGGGAGGAAACCTCCATTGGGGCGCTGAAATTTGCTATTATTAGTTCTCTTTTTAGTTGGATGTTGAGGAGAAATTATATATCTTTAGATGAAATTGTGGAATTTACGGGTTCTTTGGGTCGCTTTTGTTTGGTTTCTTTTATATCTCTTGGGATGCGTTCCCCTTTTGAACGCTTTCTAATACATTTTATTTATCAAAAAAAAAAAAAAAAAAAAGTGAATATAAAAGAGAGAAGAAATAGAGGGAGGAAAAGGGGGTGGTCACGGTGGTAAGAGGGGGCGGTTGTGGGGGTGGGTGGCCTGGTGTACTGGTGGGTGCTTGACAGGAGGGAGAAAATAGAGAGGTTTCTATACATTCTTATTTATCAAAAAAAAAAAAAAAAGAAGGGAGAAAAGGGAAAGGAGGGGGGGAAACTAATGGTGGGTAAAATTGTCAATTCATATGTTTAAAAAGGTCAAAAAAGGTAATTCCATGATTCAAATAGGTCAATTCACCATGTTTCAAATGAAGCAGGTGATGCTTGGGGGTGTCTGTTCACTTTACCAAACCTAAGGGGGTGTCATTCAAAAATGAGCCAAGTTCTAACTGGCTATCAATAGGGCAAACCACCCTTAAATCAAACAATTTTTAGGAACAATACATTTGCTATGTAAGATCTGCGAGTAGTTTTCTTTCTTGCATTTAACTAGCATTTTTTTTTTATCATTTCAACTCTGTAACGGAGATGATTCAAAAATGAAGAAGGTGGAAACCAAATGTGTGAAGTTCAAGAGACAGGATGAACCAACTTCCATTTACAATGTTGCTACTAGAAAGAAACCCAAAATGGGAAAGAGTGTTGATTTTTTTTTCTTTTGCTTTTTTTTTTTTTACTTAGTAATTTGAAACAAATAGCCGCTGTGAATGGCTAACAAACCAAAACAATGTAGGAACTCGATCTAGAAGCAACATATAAGTACAATGTAGGAAGACAAAATAGGAAAGTAGGAAGACAAAATAGGAAAGTACGCAATCACCGCCTTATTATACCAATGCTGACTTACATTTTTTAACAATTTTTTAACAAAAACAATTTAAAGCAACATATAAGTTACATTTATAGGGTAGAGAACTTCTCATTCATCACGAATAAAAAATATGAAGGTAACTGGGAAGAGACAATTTTGTAGTAGTTTATTGGCTAAGGTGAAAAGAGTTCAATTGCTCCTTTTGTGATGGCTGTGAAATTTGCAAAAGTGCCTCTGTCACCTTCGTTTCGCATAGAAAGAAAGCTTCTCCATGAGTTTGTAGGTTGTCCCTACATTCTTTGTTGTTTCGAGAATGAGGTTTCAACTCAAAATGGAGTTTAGCTCTATAATATCATGTTGGAGTACGCATCCAGTGGCAGTTTGAAGTCAGACCATATACAAAAATTGTGCTTATGGGTCTTAGCTATATTCACAAGGTTGCGTTCATTGTGACATAAAGCCTCATAATATTCTACTTGTCAAGACTCTTCATCATTTTGTTTGACTTCGAATTTGATTATTCCGAAATCAAAAAGGGTTGACGAAACTGCAAAGACTGCTGATTTTGGGCTTGCTATTACGATTATAAAGAAAAAATGTTCCGAGTTGATGGGCACAACTATGTATTTAGCACCTCAGTCAGTTCATTATCAAGAAATCAACCTCATTCGGATTTTTGGACACTTGGGTGAACTATGTTAGAGTTGATTATTGGAACAACACTATAGCATTGTGAACCACATACCACGCCTTGCACTCTTTTGTATCACTTTGGTTTCGGAAAAAATTACCGGAAATTCCAAGCTCGGTGTCTGTATAGACAAAATATTTCTTGGACATGTGTTTGGTCGATGATCCCAAGTCCCGATGGTTGCTGACATTCTCTTAGACCATCCCTTTGTTTCATCTATGGACAATATTAAGGATGTTAAGAAGGAAGAAACAAAGTTTTTCCGAGAGAAACAAAAAAATGTAGCATGTGATACATCACCTCAGAGTTCAGTAGTTAATCTTCTAAGTAAACCATCAACATTAAGGACTACGCCTTTGCAAGAAGAGAAAAAGAACAATGGAAGAGGTCCGTGAAGCACTACAACAACAACCAAATACAACAGGCTATCAACGTTACTGGGATATAAGGCTAACTCTTCTTCAAAATCACGAGACATCAATCCCACACGCATTTGAAAAACGGAAAAAAAAAAAGCAGATAGGGTTTCTTCATTTTCCCATTGTAACTTATCCCGCCATTCTATCTGACATTGAATTGATCGTAGAGTGTCTTTCTCGCTGTTGGAATCAAATGGAAGTTTGTTAAGCTTTAGACAGCTGGACACACGAATTATGGTTAGAGAAGAGAAGGGCAATGGATGACCATGGATGCTCATTAACATTGGTAGTCTGTACAAAGTCAACGTTTGTAGCCTTGAGAAGAAACTTAAGATTCCTTCCCTGCTAATTTCATTAGTACTACTACTGCAACCCACATCTTTTATTACAACTTTCATTACATCAGAGTGAATAGTCATTAAAGTTTGAAGGTTTGGCACGCTAATTAGCCATGTTAGATCCTTTGAAACCTTGTAATCCAAGATATAGACTTGTCGAAGGTTATGGAAGCTTTTGCTTCCTCTATTATACTATTAAACCTTGTAGTCCCAAGATATAGACTTACCTCTTCCATAGTTCTGTTTCTCTTCTTCCAAAGGGATTGTCCTTCATGTTATTGTCTTTCAAGCCCCCTCTTCGACATAATCTTGTAAGGTTTAATTAGAAGATCAACTAATGAACTCTGAGGTGATAAATCACATGCTGCATTTTTTGTTTCCCTCGGAAAAACATTGATTCTTACTTCTTTAACATCCTTAGTACTGTTCATAGATGAAACAAAGGGATGGCCTAAGAGCATCTCAACAAACCATCAACACTTCGGATCATTGACCAAACACTTGTCCAAGAAATCTTTTGCCTCTGCACACATCATCTTGGAATCTCCAACAGTTTTATTCCGAAACCAATGCAATACAAAAGAGCCCAAGTCGAGGTATGTAGCTCGTAATGCCATGGCGCTGTTCGTGTAATCAATTTTAACACAGTGCACCCAAGTGCCTAAATATCCGAATGAGGTTGGTATTTTTGATAACGAACTAACTCAGGTGCCAAATACATAGTTGTGCCCCTCAATTTGGAACCTTTTTTTCTTTGTACTCGTCATAGGCAATCTTTGCAGTTTCTTCAACCCTTTTAACCTCGAAATAATCAAACTCAAAGGCAAACAAAAGCACATGCTTGTGAATGTAGGCTTTATGTCACAATGAATATAGCCTTGCTTGTGAATACAGCTAAAACATAAAAGCACAGTTTTTTTTGTATTGTCTAACTTCAAACTCCAACAACCCTTTGCCGGAACTCTTAATATAATCAGCCAAACTGCCACCGGATGCGTACTCAAACATGATATTATAGAGCAGAACTCCCTTCTCAGTCAAAACCTCGTCCTCGAAACAGCAAAGAACGCAGGGACAACCTTCAAACTCATCAAGAAGCTTTATTTCTCTACGAAACGAACATGATAAAGGCACTTCTGCAATTTCAACAGCCATCACAAAAGGAGCAATCAGACTCTTTTCATCATATGCCTCAACCAATTAAACTACTCCAAAACTGTCCATTCCCATTTTTCTTCCTCACATCCACCATACGATCTCTCTTTTCATCCCTATAGTCTCTACGTACATAAATTTCATTCGTGATGAATGATAAGTTCTCTAGCGTATCAAAGTAACTCTTATGTTGCTTAAATTGTTTCTGTTGGATAGAAAATTTTGTTAAAAAATGTAGGTTGGCATTGGTATAATAAGGTGGTGATTGCCTATAAGATTGTCGTACTTTCCTATTTTGTCTTTCTTATATTTTTTTTCATGTAATCTATCTTATTTCCTCTTATTATGTCCCTAATACCCACCTTGGTGTTTTACTTAAATTTTGAATTGTGATAGCTTAACTTGCAAGCCATATCATTTTTGCTCAGCGAGATCGAGTTCTCTACATTGTTTTGGTTGGTTAGCCGTCGGCAACGGCTAATTGTTTCAAATTATCATTCTTTTGGGCGTACTAGATTTTTTGGGCCGATAGGCCTATATGGCCACTAACTTGAAAATAAAAATAAAAGAAGGCAAAGAAATCAATTCGCTATCACAATTTGGGTTTCTTTCTAGTAGCAACACTATAAATGGACTTTTATTATGTTGAATATGTTCTTGTTCAGTATTCATGTATTCTCCAATCCGTATGTCATCCAAGGATTCATGCACCTCGTCAACATTTCCACTTTAGCGTTCTACATCATTAACACCAAGCTTAACATGATCATTGTTTGAGTTTTAAACATCTCTCCATGATACATCCAAGTTGTGTATTGCTTGTACATTCCATACTTGTACAAATGCTCCTCCACTTCTTTTAGTTGCCTCACTAGCAAGTTTTTACAACTAAGACACGAACAATGCACTCTAGTTAAACCGTCCACAAAACTGGATTAAATCTCGTGTTCCATGTAACTATTGTCGATGAACCCTAGTAAGGATTTGCATCCCACTCTTATCCATCTAAGACACATACAAAAATATAATAATCAATCAATACAGAACTTATGGCATATAAAGCATGTGACAGAATTTCGAAAGTACCAATAATAGTTGCATTTCAAAGCATAATGCAGATTAATTTGAATACAAATGCATGTTGCTGAAGAATGTATATAAATCTAAAAGGTACAAGTAACTTTTCATACCACTCAAGGAACGATACAAGTTTATATAGGAGCATAAACAAATAAATGTAATTAAATCTAAATATATATATATGTCAATTAATTTAATGATCATAATTAATTGGTACCTAAAAAATAATTTAACAATCTACGAAATAGTTGTCTGACACTTTTTTTTTGAAGAAAAAAAAATAGATATATTAAAGAAAAGAAACCTCCAAGACCCTAATTTATCCATCCATCAAACGTTTCATGACTAAAACAAATAGAAATGCCCAATAATTACATAACACCAAAGTATGAAGAAAGCAAAAAATAATATGAAAAAGGTTGAGTTGGTACTCACAGTGATGTTGGATTCACGGCCTCCAAATGCACAAAAAGGTTCACACTTCCTTACTATTTGATGGGAGGAGACACGAAAACCTAATTTAATCAGAACAAAAAATCAACCATTAAACAAGACAAAAAAAAACGAAAGAAAAAAAAAGGGAACAAATTAAAGCCTTCTCAAAACAAGGTGGCTATCTTCAAATACATTTTCTTTTAAAATAATCTTGAGGTTGAAATTTCTTTACCGATATTCACTTGGGCAGATCGCCAGAAACAAGGTTCTAAAATTCAAAGACATGTCCTAAATGATTTCTAAGTAGTTCAAAACTTTCCAAACTTGATTAAAACTATCTTTTTGAGACGTGGAGAAGAGAAAGAAGATTAAGCACATAAACAGACGTGTCAATGAACAATAGAAGAGGACATGGAGTTACAAAAATAGATGAAGGCATAAAGTTATAATATACATATTATACTACTGATTCTCTAGATATAAGAGAAGACCAAAAATTTCCAATAGAAGAGGACAGAAGCATTACGAGAACAGATTCAGATCTGTTCGTCTCATTGTTCTCACGATCAGGTTTGGTTTTTAGATTGAGATTTGCTTGCTTGCTTTTATAGATGTATCTTTTTATAGCTGACTTAGGTTTTAGATTTCGATCATTGGCGAGTTTGTACCATCAGACGATTCTTTTACCATGTTGTGTACTGTTTGGTGATCTGTTGTAAAATTGAGAACATGTATGTGGTATATATACAACATTTGATGTCTCTAAGATTGTGCTATGAGCTTGTCTATGTTACGAGGTGCAAAGATAGAGCTGAGTTGAATTTGCTTTGATGCATGCTTTTATAGTGTGTTTTTTTTGGCCAACGCATTTTGCTGTATTATTCTAAGACTTATCATTAGAAAACTTTGACTAATTAATATTATAAGCACTTCCATTCTTTTGATTATCATATATTTAATTTCTATCTTCCTATATCGTATATGAAAACATGTTAAAAAACATTAGGAGAATAACATGTTTTCATATACGAAATAGGAAGATAGAAATTAAATATATGATAGAAATGGAAGTCCTTATAATATTAATACGTCAAAGTTTTCTAATGATAAATCTTAGAATAATCTGACAAAATGCATTGGCCAAAAAAAAAAAAAACACTATAAAAGCATGCATCAAAGCAATTACTCTGCTCAATCTTCACAGCTCGTAACATAGACAAGCTCATAGCACAATCGTAGAGCATCAAGAGTTGTATATATTCCACATACACGTTCTCAGTCTAACAACAAATCACCAAACAGTACACAACAAGGTAAAAGAAACGTCTGATGGTACAAACTCACCAATGATCAAAATCTAAAACTAAACTCAGCTATAAAAAGATACATCTATAAAAAGCAAGCAACCAAATCTGAATCTAAAAACCAAACCTGATCCTGAGAACAATGAGACGAACAGAGGTCGAGAACTATTAATGGTAGAATGTTCCGCAAGGCATCATTTGGATCTAAAGTCCAAACAATCATTTTTTTTATAATTTATTTCAATTTTCAGATTTATTTTTTTGCTTTCATATATTTAAATAGGATAGAGATGTTGTTCAGTCATCCAGATGATGGATGCTCAGTCATTACCTATAGTCTAATGGGCTTTAAGACAGCACAAGTACCTAGACGAGGTCTAAAACCCAAATAGCCACTCTTAATCAATTCAGGCTGAGGATATGTGCTTACCATAGAAGCCCTCGTTGTGGAATATAAAAGTAAGTTTATATATAGTATAAGGCAAAATATAAAAGGATTCATCTGTCACACAACATTGCTAGGTGTCACCACGCATGGAAGCATAAGGACAATTGTACAAAGGCTCTGACTTAACAAAGCTAATTGTATAACTTATGTATAGAGAAAGAAATAAAAAGAAAAGAAAAAAAGGGACAACCAGAAGGTCTCTCGGCCAGATGCGAAGAAAAGGAGGAGAGAGAGAAGAAAAAGAAGAAGAGGAGGAGGAGAGAAAAGATAAAAGTATTCAAGAATTTCACTCAAAGGCAAGTTGATCTTGTTCCCATTCTTACATATATTTGTAACTTGGATTCATTAGTATTGTTAGAAAATTATTTTAGCATGCTCTAGTAAATCTTAACAATCTAATTGAATGAAACTTAGATTAATTGATATAGGAACTTGATGGGTAGATTGTTATGAGTTGTGTACTAACTGCTGGTAAGTTTACTACTATCGTTCCTTTTAATCGTACTCTCTTGGGAAAGTGGTTATGGAGATTTGGAAGGGAACGTCATCATCAGTGGAGAAGAGTTGTCTCGTGTCGTTTTGGTGAGGAGAGTGGGGGCTGGTCATCTCTTCCAGTCACTATTACGGGAGGCGTTGGTGTGTGGAAATTCATTTGGAAGGGCTAGGATGTTTTCTCCACACATATTAGATTCAAAGTTCGTGATGGCAGACATGTTCGTTTTTGGGAGGATCTTTGGTGCGCCGATCAGTTGCTGTCTCACTCCTTTCCTAGACTTTACAGTATTACAGCCAATAAGCATGTCTACGTGATTGATTATTATCAATTTGATAACAATGGAGTTACGTGGGATGTGCGGTTTAGGTGGCCCTTTCAGGATTTGGAAATGGAGGAAGCTTGTGTGTTTTTTGGGTACGTTGTATAGGCAAAAGGATATTGGCAGAGGGTGTGATGATATTTTGGGGTTCCTTTAGCTCATGGTCGGTATGGCGTCCGATCTATGTTCTTCTGTTTGTCCAAATTCGTTGGTCCTGAGTTCCCTTGGAAGTTTGTTTGGCGTTCTAAAGCTCCTCTTCGAATCGCATTCTTCGTTTGGACTGCCACATTGGGAAAGATTTTGACATGGGACAATTTGAGAAAGAAAGGCAACATCATTGTTAATTGGTGTTGTTTATGTAAAGCTGATAGTAAATCCGTGGATCACATTCTTTTGCATTGTCCTGTGGCGTATGGTTGTTGGAGTTTTATGTTTTGCATGTTTGGCGTTTTCTGGGTAATGCCTAAGCACTCCTCACAATTGATTAACGCTTGGAAAAGGTGTCCTGTTAAAGAACAAGCTCGTGATTATTGGAAGATTGTTCCACATTGTGTCTGGTGGTGTTTGTGGTGTGAGAGGAATTACAGATCCTTTGAAGGAAAAGAATCGTCTTTAGCTAATTTAAAAATTCATATTCTTCGTTCTTTGTTCTGTTATGTAAGAGGAAATGCATGCTCCTCGATTGATGATTTCTTTGATCTCTTGGATTCTATTGGTCCTTAGACCTTTTTTCTTCTTGTATTAGGGACGCGTTCCCCTTTTGAACGTTTTTCTAATATATTTTTACTTATCAAAAAAAAAAAAAAAAAAGTTTACTAATATGTCATGCAAATTTTAAAGGCATGATTAAGTGATCTTGACCTACTTACTTATACACATACACACATACATACACCGGCTCTGCTATATGTGTGTGGCTGAGTGTATATAGATATGACAACGCATGCATGGATGATTGATATCATATGGGTCCTGAAACCTGACCATGGTTATGATTCCTTGTGGTAATGGATATAAATTGAAATTAAGAATAAATGGGAGCCTGCATTGCCTGGACACATATTCACACACTTTTATAACATAACATTAAATCTTGTAAAAAAATAGCTTAATTATATTGTACTTAGTGTGGAGTAATAATCCTGTGCTATGACTATGAGGTAACTTTGTAGTTGTTTAGAGTATAGATTTTGATGTTTAAAAGGACTGATGAAACATGAAATTATAAAATTAATGTGGCAGAACAGGTACTGTTCATTCAAAGGGGAAAAAGCCTCTGGCGAAACCCACTTGCGGACTAGGTAAGTGGGGAAGAATGTGTCTCGCACCAAAAATCGTTTTGATTCTACTTTGGGCTCACTTGTATATTTTGTCGATTCTGATTTTGTGAGCTTGCAACCGGTTCTGTCCGGAATACTAAACTGTTTATTTTGTATTTTTCTTTAATTGATTTAAATTAGAGAAAATCAAGGCAAAATAGTAGTACTCTCACTAGGTTGTAATTGGGAATTTCTGATAGTATTTAAAGTGCGTAATGAGCATGTGAATCATTGATTATATTAGTATCTGATGGCAGATGCATTTAATAATAATGCATAATGGAAATTTAATGGATATTATCTCATTAGTCAGAGAGGTAGTCCGCGGGACTAACTCTTTGATGCCTTTGCTAGGTATGGTCCAGGGCCAGGCCCCAGCCTATTTGGGAGTGCACTACCCTTCTTGTTATGGCCATTGGGCAAAGCGTGCCCTTATTATGTCCGGGACCATCTGGGTGAGTAGACTTACAAACCCTGCCACCTGTGTTTTCTTTAGTCCAGGGCTATGTGATACACACCTTGTTGGAGTATGGGAGTGTTTGATCCTATACTGGCTTTGAGAGCAAGCCACATATTTGAGGGGAGCCCAGGACTCGTGTGAGATAAGTGGGAAATGTATAAATGAGTTAATCAAGATGATTAACTAAGAGAGAGTTTGAGTTAAGGAAATTATAATAAATGTGCAAGTGGTAGCGGATATAATATTTAATTAGATATTAATTATTATTACGGAATTGCAGATTGAGCATGTTAATTAATGAGAGATTAATTAGCTGATATTGGCACACACCTAAATTGTTAAAATGAGTTGCACAACTTACACTTAAATATGGGAATATAAGGCAGGATCGATTTGCTGAGCAATGATAGTGTTTAGCAATACTCCTGCTGAGGTTGTGAGCTCACTCCATTATTCTTTTTCAGGTACTCGTTGATAGAGACAAGTGTTAGAGAGGTGGCGGCCACCTACTTCTCTTTTCTTTTGTGTAGTTATTTTGTTGTTTATAGTTGACACTCGTGTATTGAGGACGATACTTTTATGAGAGTTGTAAAGATGGTCTTAATGTAATGAACTTTTTGTACTAACGGATATACGGGTTGGAGTATTTGTGTGAGTTGGTTTTATAACGGATGTTATATGTAATTCACGCACCAGTTTTGCTATGGGAAGAGACCTTCCTGTGTCTAAATTTGGGAGTGTGACAAATAATCTATTTTTCTCAGTGATGTTGTAGAATTGGAATACATTTTTTTTTCTTTATTTTCTCTTGTGATGTTCCAGCATTGCTACAACCTAATAGTCATCATTGAAAGTGATTCTATTGACCGATTTGGGTGACCTTGCTATGTGAGAGAGTTGGCTATATGGGTTTGCATAGTTAACATTGAAAGAAGGGCATAATATCTTTCACATAAAAAAAGAATAAAAGTTCTTTGTTTCTTCCATATTGATCTTCACTGACAATTTTGGGGGCTTGGATTCTTTGGGGACAGTTACTTGGATCAACCCAATAGCACGTCATGTTGATCCCAGAAGCCATCCCCAGTATCTGAGCAAGTATCAATGCACTAGAGAGAATTCATCTCTTAATTTTAAACTCTTGTGAAGTAGTAGTACCACCACCAATAAATGTGACTACAAAACTCACCGTGTCACCTAGCATCACCTATAGCGGAACAAACTGCAGTTTCTGTAGAAACTACCACTCCTACTTTTGTTACTACTCCTAGATCCACCACTACTTTTGCTACTACTGCTAGATCCACCACTACTTTTACTACTACTGTTACTACCTTTGGAAGGATTCTGAACGCCATCCAGTACAAAAATGTGTATTGTACTTTGACATGCAATTAAATCGAGAATGCAATGCCACGCAATATCATTAATTGAGAATACATCAATGATGTTCCATCTCGATATAATATGTTACATGGGTATTGCATCCTTAAAGTAAATGTAATGCAAGAGTGATTACATTATGTTAGGTGTTGGGTCTTCGATTTATAATGACCATACAGTGCAGATCCTGATTCAAGAAAAAAGTCGCTCAATATATTTGAACTAAATAACATTACAAAGGCCTAATGATAGTAGGGTCGGGTGATCTCCCCCTCACAACCAGAAGACGACATGGTCTCTACTCCTCCAGCTCTCTGCATGGGAATCTCACTCACTGCTTCCCTTAATATTCTCTCCTTGGCACATGATGGAGGTTTACAAGAGATCTCAAGCTCACTGGGAAAGGTTTCTGTATCAAAGTTATTAACTCAACTCAACAGCAACAACACACACACACAAAAACAGACACACAAAAAAAACAACCAGGATAACACCATCCCCATAAAGTTTACTTGAAAACAAATTGTCAAACAGCATTTATGTAAATTAGCGCGCGATAGTTGCAACCATATGCAGAACCAGTCAGCTAAAAGCTTGAATACAAGTAAAATAGCAGTGCAATAGGGTGAACGTTCAAATCGATCAGACTATTAAAAGGATGTCACTAATAAGATTTCAATTTCCAGCCAGAACTGACAAAAAAAAAATTTTTTTTGATAAGTAAGAACTGACAAAAATGAAAGAATTCAAACATAAAAGCAAGTGAAACATACATGAATGAAAGACGGATGGTCTTATACTAACTGATTGGACTGTTTAAAGGTGATGGCTGGTGAGATTTTAGTTCCCTGATAAACAGGAATGACAAAATGGAAGAATCCTAATTGAAAAACATGTGGAACACGTGTAACTGAAGACAAATGGCCCTAATACTAGTAGCAACTTCAGCTTGTATGACACGGTGGGGGCATTAACCTAGATGGTACGATCTCTCTTCCCCAAAGGGGAGGTTGAGTGTTTGAGTCCTGCTAGGAGCGTGGATGTGCGTTCCCCCCGGGGGGCGGTGGGGGGCGGGGGGGGGGGGGGGGGGGGGGGAATTGCAGCCCATACATATGCTTGCATCACAGTAATCATTCCCATGAAAGATGTGCAACTTATCCTATCTATTGCCTACTTATTGTTAACTTTACAAGGAAGGTTCTTCAAAGTAATTCCAGCTCACGACAAGCAAAATTTCAATGCACAATCAAATTGATCAAATCAAAATGGAATGTCACCTTATATAACTTGTGCCATTTCATGCCAAATTAGATCCACTGAAATTAACTAGCAACTGAGTATCAAAGTTTAACAAGATAAATGGCATCAATTACGACCGTACATGAGTATCATGGCCTGACATCCATTTAATGCCTTTGCTATGGTTATTCATGCCCCCTCACTTAGATGGGACTCTTTGATAAACTTATGCGCCCATTTGATTTTACTCCACCTGCATAAACATTACAAAAATCAATATATATACTCTGCATCCAAGTTTATTTTTATGTAAAAGGAAAAAAGTGCTTACATTATTTTTCAGTATATAATGCTATCTATATATGTGTGTGTATATACATATACATATACATAAGTTAGTACTGCATTCAAGAAGTGGGGATACAAAAGTTTAGGTCAATAACAAAGGGAGCATCAAGACACCAAACCATCTAATGCAATCACGATTACAATGACTTTATGTTTTTCATCTGATGTATCATTTAGTTTTTGAACTGTAATTATAAGTCCATCATCCTGCATTATGTGATTCCTCCATAGGTAGTCCAGTTACCTAGTTGAAAAAGAAAACCAATGCTGAATTCAGCACTCTATAAACCCTCAAGATGCAATAGATCTGATTATATCGTTGTTAAAATAGGGGAATTTGCAATTCATATCTTGAGAGGATTTGCATTTCTATTATTATCTGGAGCACCATATTTTGGTTTCACTTATCTGTTTTAGGAGCTCTTTGGCAACATAAAAATATTGATCAGGTACCCCTATTGTTTTATCTAGTTAGATAGCTTAACAAGGTTACTCATTTTTTCATCACTGCTCTCTTCAGTGCAGAAAGTGAAATGGACAGAGGATCCTTCAATACTTTACAATAGCATCTATTTCTGAGGATGTTGCGTCTAACTAGTTTTGAAAAATATAATCATTTCTTACAAAGGTGATCACCAAATCTCAAAATCAATTATTTTGTCAAACTCTGACGTAATGTATTATTTGTTGGATTAACACTGATTAGTGCAGGAAGTGGAGATACAGATGGAAGATCCTCTATACTTCACACTACAATCTATTCAAGAGAACATCATATACATATGATACAAAATATTCATATATATATATATAATTGGCTTGTAGAATATATTCATTCCAAGCAAAGATAATCTACATCAGTTATTTTCTCAAGCTGAAAGAATGTATCAGCAATTTCGCAAATGGCAATAAAATTATTAAGCGAGCTCACTGATAAATTTGCAAGTGGTGTTGTTTTGCAATGAATTTGTTTCTAGTGTCAAATTCTTGATGAGACATTAAACTATATGTCATTTTAATCCTAAAAAGATTATTTAATCTATCTTGAAGTGTAACAAGAATGTATGGATAACACAAATTTGTTCACTTGTGTGCTGGTGACACTAGCAGCATTTTGAAACCATTTCTCTAATATGAAGCAAAGATGAGGTACGTAGCAAGGTTGTTAAAATTGGGATTCTATGTAGAATCGTTTTGGGCTCCGTAAAATCGGAATCGTAGAATCGCAAGATTCTACCAGCTAGTAAAAAAAACAATTCAATCTAACTTCTTAAACAATAATATATGTAAAATATGGCAAGAATAAGTCCAAAACAGAAAAAATTGTACAAAAGCACCACTCCAAAATCCAAATATAACATAAAAGAGAACGTAGCTCAAAAGGTAGAGCTCTCGTGAAAACTATGCAATTTGTAAGTTGTGAAATTGTGTGTGAGAAGATGAAGGCTTGAATTCTTGCATTCTTTTTCATGCCAACTATGCAATTTACAAGTTGTGAGGTTGTGTGTGAGGAGATCAAGGTTCAAATCCTTGCATTTTCTCACACATATCTTATCACCTAAATTTCTAAAAGAAACTTACAAAATAAAAAAAAAAATTTAAATGAAACACAAATAAGATACCCTTTAATGAAAGGGAGTACAGGCCTAAAATGGTTGGCGGCTTGGAGCTACTGTTTTTGTTTCAAGAAAACGTTTTTGAAAAACAGTTGCAGAATGCAGTGTTCTCTTGAGAAATCAGTAGTTTTCCAAAATTCAAATAACAAAACAATTAATCAAATACCCAAAAAACAAAAACAAAAGTTCCAAAACAATATGCTAGAACAATCTCTTGAAAGGGGAAAAAAAAACAAAAACAAAAAAAAAGCAGTCTGACAATGACATAATATCAAGTTACAAGCTTTCAACTAATCTAAGAAATCATCAAATCAAATCATCAATTAATGAATTAATCAGACAAAAAAAAAAAAACTGACAACATTCTCCTGAATCTTGAAAGTGAAAAAATTAAAAATAAAATAAAATAATCATAATATCAAGTTTTAAATGTTCAAGTTTCAACTAATCAACAAATCAATCCGACATAAATCATAATATCAAGTTTTAAATTTTCAAGTTTCGCCTAATCAACAATTCAATCAATGAATTAATCAAATACCAAAACAAAAAAAATGCATCTTTGAGTTGAGTCAATAGTGTTTTTATCTTATTCATATGGACTTTTTTTGGGCCACAAGACTGTGGCCTTTCTTATTTAGAGAGCCCAACACTTAAGAAAGTGAATCAGGCCAAAACAAAAAATAAGCCCAAACAAAGAATATGTCAGAATGATTCTACAGGATTCTACTGCGATTCTACCCAGGGAACGATTTTTATACAATTTGACTCGTTTTGGGTTGGTAATCGCGATTTTGACAACCATGGTCTGAAGTCCATTAAGAGTCCAACCTTTTAACCAAAACTCTAATCCATCATCATGTTGTTTTAGAAGATGTAAGTAACATTATTTTCCTTTTTTTTGTTGGACGCTTGTCTAAACCCCTGCCCCTAGTCTACATCTTAATCATAAGTTTAATTTTTTCTCTCTTTTTTCCCACTTTTTCTTACCCACGCTTTCAAAGCTTTTAATTATCAAGTATTGCAGTTGTTGGTAACTTCTAGGGACATTGGAAGACAACCCATATACCTGTGGGTGTCCTATAAATCACCACCTTGCTTCTTTGTGGCCCTGTCATTCATCACTCCATTTTTCCTTCTTTTAATTCAAAGTTCAGACATATATATGTATATATAATGGGCGAAATTGTAAATCTATGAATGGTCTTTTGCATTTTGTGGATAGCTTAAAGTTGTAATGTCGCTGTAGGCAGCTTTTTGTTCTCTTGGGAGCGTTCTCCTTTAGAGTGCCTTCTATGTATATTTCCTTATCAAAACATATATATAATGGGATAAAATTACAAAACACCCCTGAAATATAAAATTTCATCATATTCAACAAACTAAACCTCATTAAACCCCCTTGACGTTTTAAAAATCCATCAGCTTACCACCAGCTTACCACCTTTTCGTTACTTTGCCGTCCAATCATAACAAAAAGCATATCACGTGAGCAACATGTGCCAAATTTCACTATCTTTTGACCAAAAAACCCTTTTAATGCCAAAAAATATCATTGAGGACCCAAACTTATTTTTTACACAGCTCCCTTTCTGTTTGCACATGGGTCATCTTTTTACTTGGATTCTAATATACCTTTTCCGAGAACCGAGTCCAATTAATCCACCTCTCAAGAATATATATTACATATATATATTACACGTATGTGTGTATATATATTTGGTTGTCACAATATTGATTTCACAGTCTTCAACCCCAAAACAATTAGAGAGAGAGGCAGAGGGAAGGAGAGAAAGAGAGACCCTAATCATTTAACAATTGAGGGATCTTCTGCTCCAATGTCGTCAACACCACCAACCTGGTACACCACAATCCTACTAGCAACCTAACCCACATCGAATTTCAACGCTGAATTCATCGTTCCGATGAAGTCCCTTGTTCCGATGAGGACTGGAATTGAATTCTAATCGGAAAAGGCTGGTTGTCTTCTGAACCAGTTCCAAGTGGACCCATTCTTCCTCTTTCCCACGAATATACACTACCATCCCCTATAATTCACCACAAAAGTGCACACACTTATATGTGTGTGTCTATTTAGTATATGAATATATGATTTGGGAAGAGAAGAATTGGCAATTCTAAGTGAGAGCGAGAGAGTGAGCTTCTCCAGCGGTGGGTAGAGAAAGAAAACACTATTTTTTTTTTTTTTTTTGATAAGTAAGAAATTTATAAAAAGCGCTCAAAAGGGGAGTGCATCCCAAGGGAACAAAAACAGGCCAAAACAGCCATTACACTTTTAAAGAGGCCAAAAAATCAACTATTTCATCTAAAGATCTATAATCTCTACCTGAGACCCAACAAAAAAGAGTGAAAACAATAGAGAACTTAAGAAAAGAAATAGGCCTCTCCTTCCCCTCAAACTATCTCCTATTCCTCTCAAGCCAAATACACCACCACACACAGAGAGGAGTAGCCCTCCAAGCATCACGAACATGGCCCCCCACAAAACATTCTCTCCAAGCCTCGATCAACTCTCTGGTGGAGTGAGGCATGACCCATTGGAACCCAAACAAGCCAAGCATCAAATCCCAACAATCCTTGGCCATGGGGCAATGCAAAAGAAGATGGTCCATTGTCTCCTCGTCCCTAAGACACATGTAGCACCGATTGACCACCACCTGATTTTTCCTTCTCAAATTATCCTGAGTTAAAATTTTGCCCAACACACAAGTCCAAATAAAGAAGGCCACTTTGAGAGGAGCCTTAGAAAGCCAAACAGACTTCCACAGGAAGGGCCCTCTAGGCTCCACAGAAAGACACCTGAAGGACCGCACATCAAAACGACCCTGAGCATTGGGAACCCAAATCCAACCATCAGACTCACCAACCGTGACTCCCTGCCGATACAACAACTCCAACAGACGAATGGCATCCTCAACCTCCCAATCCTGAAAGAGACGCCTGAACTGAACATCCCACGCCAGTCTCCCGCTATCAAGATGATAACAGTCAACTACCATGGCCTGCCTATTCGAAGCAATCCTAAGCAATCGTGGAAAAGCGAGAGCAAGAGAAATATCTCCACACCAAACATCCTCCCAAAAACTGATCCTCTCACCATCCCTGAATCTAAAACGGACATTCAAGGAGAAATCAAACCAACCCTTCCGAATGCACTTCCAAACCCCCACACCCCTCGGACCATGCACCTTAAGAGAGTACCACCCTCCTCTCTCCCCAAACCTACTAGCAACAACCCTCCTCCAAAGCCAATGTCTTTCCACTCCAAACCTCTACAACCATTTTCCAATGAGAGCTTTATTGAAAGGCACCAATCTACGAAGCCTCAACCCACCATTACGAATAAGCCAGCAAACATGCTCCCACCGAACCAAATGAAACTTAAACCCCCAAAAACAGAAAATCACGCTGCAAGCGCTCAATTCTCTCAACCACAGAGACGGGAATCTGGAAAAGCGAAATAAAATAAGTAGGAAGGCAAGAGAGGGTACTCTTAATTAGAGTGACCCACCCCCCCTTGGAAACATACTGCTTCTTCCAGCCCGATAGCCTCCTCTCAAATCTATCCACAACTGGATCCCAAACTCCCACACACCTCTAAGGAGCTCCCAGAGGCAAACCTAAATAAAAGATGGGAAAAGAGCCAATGCAACAACCAAGAATACTAGCAAACAAGCCCATCTCAGGAACCTCCCCAACTGGCACCAAAACACTCTTGCCAACATTCACCTTCAGGCCGAAAACAACTTGGAACCAGATCAAGACACATCTCAAATATCTGGGACTCCTCCGCATCACACAACACAAGCGTATCATCAGCAAACATCAAATGAGAGATCTCTAACTGGCTAGCAGCATCTCTACCCACCCGGAACCCTCTCAAAAAGCCTAACTCAACAGCCCTCCTCATCAACCTACTAAGAGCCTCCATCACAAAGAGGAACAAGAATGGGGAAAGTTGGTCACCCTGCCTCAAGCCCCTCGAACTGGAGAAAAAACCGGTTGGAGCTCCATTCACAAGAATTGAGAACCGAGCACTGGACATACAAAAATGAATCCATTTCCTCCATCTCACTCCAAACCCCATCCTCTCCATTAGGTAGAGAAGGAAACTCCAACTCACATGGTCATACGCCTACTCAATATTCAGCTTACACAGAACACCCGGAACCCCACTACTCAATTTGGAGTCCACACACTCACTAGCAATAAGAACTGAGTCAAGAATCTGACGGTCTCCCACAAAGGCATTCTGAGAATCAAAAATCACACCATCCATCACTTTCCTCAAACGAAGAGCAAGGACTTTGGCAATCAACTTGTAAATGCACCCTACTAAACTGATAAGGTGAAAATCCCGAACATCCAAAGCCCCCCCCCCCCCCCCCCCCTTCTTAGGGATGAGAGCAACAAAGGTGGCATTCAAGCTCTTCTCAAAAGACCCCTGGGCATGGAAAGCTTGAAAAGTGCCCATCACCTCCCCTTTAACCACCTCCCAGCACTCCAAAAGGAAACACATGGTAAACCAATCAGGACCTGGGGCTTTATCCCCGTTACAGCTCTTCAAAGCAAACAAGACTTCCTCTTCAGAAAAAGGCTCTTCCAAGCCCGCACGCTCCTCACAAGAAATGGTGTCAAACTGAAGCCCCTCAAGTAGAGGTCTCCACGTAGCAACCTCTGTGAACAACTCCGCATAGTACTCAGCAATACCTCTGCACACATCCTCCTCCTTAACCAGAGTCAACCCATGCACCCGAATCCTCCCAATATGATTGCCTCTTCGATGGGCATTGGCCAATCTATGGAAAAACTTCGTGTTTCTATCACCCTCCTTAAACGACATTTAAAAATAACAATTTACTTGCTTTTAACAAGGCAAGGTCAATTTAGACATGTCACAATATAAATAACAGCTCTGTCAAATAATGGTGTTAATTTGTTAGTTAAGGGTTATATGATAAAATTTTATGGTACAAGTGCGTTTTGTGATTTTACCCCTATAAAAAGGCACTCTATCTGTCTCTCTCTCTCACACACACACATGAGCCCATTTTTCTTACCTACCTACCCTTTGCTAGGACTACATACATTGATTTACATATAGTCATAGATACCAAAACAGTAATCTATAAAAATAATTACAGAAACATCCAATACAAAGTTGCTTTAGTTAAGGACATTAAGACCAGAGGTTGTAGTATAATGATCTAATCGTACTTTCTTTCCAAAGTGAAAGGTCAAGGGTTCAAGCATAGGAGCAAGTGGGAGAGTTCGTTATTTGCCAAGATAAAAAATATATATAAATAAATAAATAAAAAGACAAGGGCCTTGAGTAAAAATATATAGTTTAAATTTATTTTGAGTTTCTTTACTTTATTAAGCTAAATAAATTTCTTCTTCTATAGCATTCTTTTTCTCGTCTGGATATGTAATTTGATCAATTATCTTGTTTTGCTAAAACATTAATACCATTCACTTGTCCGGAGCCATCACCTAAATAATGGCTTCTAATCATTTCCTAAATAATGGCCTCTAATCATCATTTTTAGCAAAACAATTCATTTGTTCACATCTAGAGGAGTCCTAGAGATATGAAACTATGACAGGGCACCAAATTGCTGACCATTTTAATTAAATCAAAAACAGTGGTTGACAGAAGTTAATTCAATAGATACCAAAAATGACATAAAAAGTAACAATAACATTGTTAAGACAATGCAAAGCCAACAGAAAACAACACTTACTGCCAACATAGTCGAAGATACCCATTCGGGCGGTGGCCAAAACAGCTTGGAAAAACCAGTGCAACGTGCAAAAGGCACAATACTACCACTCTCTAAATTAAACACACTGATGCCGCAATTCTTCATTACATTCTCTGCCCTCCCTGAAAAGAAGAAATTGTCTGTAAAGAATATGCAATTCCGTACACAACCAGGAAAATCAGAAGCTGATGCCGAAAACGTGCAATTATCTTCCAAAAACACCATCTGATCCCCCAAACTTTTCAACTCAACCCACATCTGTTCTTCTCGATCCAATTTGAAAACTTCAAACCGGACCGCCGTCCTCTCAATAAGATAACATCCTTCAAAAACCCCACTGTAACCAAAATAATCTTCAGGTCCCAAACTCAAATACATATCAACCAACAACAAATCACCACATGACTCCACCAAGAGCTTCTTGTCCCCACCAAAAAACGGATTCGCAGCCAAACTCACACACGGAGACGAGTCAATATAAAAAACAACAGTCATTCCCATGTTGTCCACTGCATAGAACTGTCCTTCAAAGAGTATCACATCATCATAAGGCGAAGTCAAATCGCCAATGACAGTCCATTTGGTGTCACCAGACTTGAACAAAACTAGTTTCCCAGAATCATGCATTGCTAACAACACAAACCCATCAACCCGCGAATGGAATGCAACCTTTCCCATTTGCAAATTGCCCGCATCACCGATCGAACTCGCAAAAGGCCGAAGAACAAACTCGTGCCCTAGTTCAGAAACCCTAAATTTGGAGGGATCGAGAATTCTGGGGAAATTTGTGGGCATTGGTTTGAATTCGAACCTAGAGAGAGGATCCAAAAGATGCATCCTCTGACGACCGTCCTGTTCTAGCTTAATCAACCAGGTGTCGGAGGGGGGTGTTTGGCAACTGGGTTCGGGCAATCCGAGGCGGAAAATGGTGCGTTTGGAGAGATAGAAACCCCGATTGGTGTCTGAAATGTCATCGTTTGGGAGAATCGGGAAACAGGAAGGTGTTGGGTGGGTGGATTGGGCAGGGAGAGTGGATCTCCATTGAGAACAGACGGATCGGAATCGGAGGAGATCGGTTTCGGAATCGAGTCGTTTGGAGATTAGGTTTAGGAGTTCCGGGGGTAGTTGAGACCATTGGGCCATTGCTGAGAGACTTGAGAGTTGAGACTGATACGGTAATACTCTGAAGCAAAGAAAGAAGATGAGGAAAGTGAGAGGAGGTGAAGAAAATAAATAAGCAAAGCACAAATTTATATTTTTTGAAAAAAAAATATAAATAAAATTTGATATGGGATTTTGGAGATATAAATAAATAATTTTTTTTTTTTTAAATTACACATAAGTATAATTTAGCAATACTAAATAATAAAATGGTCTTATTTTTAAATTTGATTAAATTAAATAAAATAATTATAAATACATCAAAAAAATTATTATTAAGATTCAAAATAACTTCTAAAATCTTATTGCAAAATACTATAATATCCTTCATAAATCTTATAATTGCTAATTGCTCCACGTGAAGAGGGGCTAGTGATATTCAAAATACCAATTGTATGCTTTATAAGGAAAATTAATTTCCCTAGACGATATAGATCTAGGTAGATCTAAAGATCTTCTAAAATTAAGAAGAACATCACCATCATGATCCTGGTTAACACAGTCCAAATTCCTATTGAGGATAGGTTTTACAGGAACTGCGTTAGGTATTGTCCAATGTTCAGGAAATGTTATTTCACTCCAAGGAATCATCCTTGTTGTAGCAACATTCGAAGTGAACATATTTGTATCCCATATCGTTGTTACTCCTTTAGAGTCTTTGCGTATGGCTTTGGATAATAGGTATCAAGTACCTTATAATGGATGCGATAAATTACACTTATCACCTCCGATCCAGGTAAGAAATTATACCCATGAGTCTGTACACGAAGACTAGCTGCTTCATATATATTTTTATTCGACAAAGATAAATTCAGACTAGGATATACATCAAAGTAAACCGAGCCATGACATAGACTGGTTTCCAGTGCTCCCATCAAAGAAGGGTGAAAATCCAAACACCTAGCATCTGTAAGTGTTGCTTGAGTACAAGCATCCATACCAAGTAAGGTTAAAGGTTTAAAAGCAATCTGGATTAAACCTGTGTGAATATACTTGTACTTTTTAATAAATCTGATAGTCAAATTTACCATCGATGTTCCATTCATAAATGGTTTTGCCATGAAAAGGTTTTTGTGTATGAAAATAATCTTCTTCATACAAGATATCTTGAGGGGTTGGTCTAGGATAGTAATATCTACTCGGAGTAGGGACTGTATTGGAGTGGATATTTTTATCATAGACAATTTTGTTGAAATCAGGCATATTTGAGATTGAAAATGCAGCCTGAAAATCCTCAATATGAGGGGAAAATTCATTTTCAGAAACAATGTCAAAGTCAGTATTGACAAATTTGGCCTTCATGAAATCCATGCATTGTATCATTAAATCTGTTTCAGGAATTAATGGATGCTGTTTTTTAATCATATCTTTAACCAATTCAAAAGGGTTAAAGATATCAGTGGCATCTGATAACAGGACTTGGTGCTTTCAGGAAATGTTATTTCTCTTTTGGTATCAGAGCCATATGTTGGCTTAAATTTATATTGTTAATATTTTAAGTTTCTAGTAGAATGCTTATTACGATAATTATGTAAAGAATATTGAGACTACTAATCTGTTTAAATCCTGCTTAAAGTGGATTCTATTATGGGTCATCCAAAAGTCGCGTTGGAATGTTAGACCGCTTTTTGCATTAAATTGCTCCACAGGTCGTTGTTTCTAGTAAACCGTTGACAGACGAGTAATATAGCCTCTCTTAAGCAGCACGACGACAGAATAGTAACTTACTGTTCATTACATAATTTTATAATGATTATTCTATACAAATCTTAAGCATTAACAATATTTAACAGTCATGTTAAACCCATCCTCCAGTATGGAAATACAGAATTCACAGGATTCTGAATTTATCAAGAATTCAGAATTAATTGAATTTACAGATGTTCAGAATAAATTGAACAAGTGGACTATTCCCCCAGTAAATGCAAGCAGCATTTACAAAATCGGGATGCTCAATCTAGCTGATTTGTGGGCAGTTAAAATCATGGAGCAGACGATGCAATTGAGTAATCAGGATACAATAATTAAGTTATTGTCTCCACGTGATCTTCAGAGATACATGAAAAAGTATAAGTATATTTATATAAGTTTAATCCAGATTGCTTTTATACCTATTATTTTTTACAGAATTTGGAATCCCTTGGATTTGGAAATGGGATTTCCAATGCAGCTATAATCCTGACAAGCTGCCAAACCTACAAAGGGTTTTTTATTACAGATGGTGGGCCGGCATGTCCCAGGAACCTGTTGCAGCCCTCTTGACCCTCATCAAACAGAAAACAGTGGAGTATCAAGATGCTATTCCCAAACTGACATTAACTCAGTTTTCAAATGCCACTGATATCTTTAACCCTTTTGAATTGGTTAAAGATATGATTAGACATTCAGCAATCTCAAAATGAAATTCCACGAGGCGTTTACAAACCAGCACCAAAAGGTGTAACGCACCAAAAAGAGTTTGGAATAGAGTTCAGTCCCACACCATCAGAAATGGGTATTAGCAAGACTGAAGACCCAAATGAAGAAAGAGAAGAATATTAGTTTTAATGGATTTTACATTAGATCAAAAAGCCATTAATGCTGAATTCCAACAGGAGCAGTATCAAGATTTTAGGACTTAGCACTTTCATGAGTTTTACAAAGAGCAATTGCAACTTTTTAAAACTCAATTTTATGAGTACCTTCACACAGAAATCTTTCCATGGCAAAACCATTTATGAATGGAACATCGATGGTAAATCTGACTATCAGATTTATGAGATTGTACATCAAATGTTAATGTACAATCAAGTCTGTAAACTTAGCCAGAACACTGATCCAACAATTGCAAAATTTATTGTTGCTGGTTTTACAGGCATCCTTAAAGGATGGTGGGATAATGTTCTCACTGATGTACAGAAGGCAGAGATATTTTCAGCCATCAAGATTGTCAAGGATGAAAATACTCAGGAAGAGGGCCCGACTGCCCATTATGGGGCTGACTCATGAACCCTGTAGAAATTCACGAGTTAAAAAGTCAGGTAAAGAGTTAGAATTGCCTTTAATATATTCAATTAAAAAATCAAAAGCAGATAAATCAGCTTGCCAACCAGTAAATATCTGTTTGGAAACTAAATTTTTAACATATTTTTCCAGTACTTGTTTAGCAGCATTATAATCAATGCGTAACAAGAATTTCTGATTAACTAAATCATCTTAGAATTTATAAATGTATTTAACTAAAGAAAGAATTTCTTTCTTGATAGTAGAATAATTTAATTGTGCATTTTTCCAAGTTCCTGAAGTGAAGCGAACAAGCTCCTCAGATCCTGTTTCTGGATTCTTTTGTTTAAGAATTCCACCATATCCAATATTGGATGCATCTGTTTCAACAATTTTAAACCATGAAGAATTTGCTACGGCTAAGCAAGGAATCTGTTTAGCGCGAAGTTTAATCTTTTGGACGGCTCTAGTATGTTCTTCAGTCCAAGGTGAAGGTGACTTCCTGAGCCGTGTATATAAAATTGTTGTATTCTGTGCAAGATTCTTGTAATAGTTACGAATATAATTCCCTGATGAAATTAAAGATAAAACTCAACTTCAAAGATTTCTTGATAGTCTGATTTACCATCGATGTTCCATTCATAAATGGTTTTGCCATGGAAAGATTTCTGTGTATGAAAATAATCTTCTTCATACAAGATATCTTGAGGGGTTGGTCTAGGATAGTAATATCTACTCGGAGCAGGGGCTATATTGGAGTGGATATTTTATCATAGACAATTTTGATGAAATCAGGCATATTTGAGATTGAAAATGCAGCCTGAAAATCCTTAATATGAGGGGAAAATTCATTTTCAGAAACAGTGTCAGAGTCAGTATGGGACAAAGTCTGAATTTTAAGTCCTTGAATTTTCTGAGTGAGAAGTTGAAGAAATTCCTCATTCTTTTTCTGATGAGACAACTTGAAACCTGAAACCTCAATAGCAGGTTGAACAAGAGCCTCGGATAAGGTAGCTTCTGGGGAAGGGTTGACAGAGATGGTTTTAGTATTAAGAATATTTATACATAAAATTGGACTTGAAAATTAAATTTGAAGTCCGCATAGTGGATGGATGGCGTGTGCTGGAATAATGCAGCCGGTTGGCCCACCACTACGTTCTGTCTTCTTGTCGGATAGCAATAATCAACTTCTGACAAGAAATAGTGCTGTAGAATCAAAGACTTTTGAAAAGAACTTTGGCTTCTTCTGTTGGCAGGATAAGATAGAATCTTTACTATTTGGGAGGCTTCATCTTTTCTACTAAATGGACGGTAAGAGAATACCAATAATCTTTGGCAGAGGGGTCCTCATCCCGGATAAGATCTTCATTTGGATCTTGTGCTTCTCCAGCGAGACAAGAATACTGATTACCTTCTTGGCTAGATGCTGACACCATGGATGTGTCATCCTGAACCGTGGAAGTAGAAGAACCAAAAATATTGACAAATTTAGCCTTCATGAAATCCATGCATTGTACCATTAAATCTGTTTCAGGAATTAATGGCTGCTGTTTTCTGATCATATCTTTAACCAATTCAAAAGGGTTAAAGATATCAGTGGCATCTGGAAACTGAGTTAATGTCAGTTTGGGAATAGCATCATGATACTCCACTATTTTCTGTTTGATGAGGATCAAGAGGGCTGCAACAGGTTCCCGTGAATAAGCATATTAATGCTTTTAACGTATTGATTGTAGTGCTGCTAAACAAGTACTGGAAAAAGATGTTAAAAATTTAGTTTCTAAACAGATATTTGCTGGTTGGCAAGCTAATTTATCTGCTTTTGATTTTTCAATTGAATATATTAAAGACAGTTCTAACTCGTTACCTGACTTTTCAACTCGTGAATTTTTACAGGGTTCATGAGTTAGCCCCATAATGGGCAGGGTCGTGGTGATACCACGAAAGGCCGTGGCAAAGGCAAGGTAAAAGCCAAAGTGGTTATACCACTAACTGACGATCAGTATCCAGCTTTGGAGCATCTCTCTGATTTGCTTCGTACTCCTACTAAAGGGGAAAGCTCATAGAAGAAAA